TAGTCACATGGCTAAGTGAATCTACACCATTGCACCTCATTAAAATCCAAGGGCTCCTATTAATCCAATTTAATGAAGGGCAATATAGTAATTGCATAGTTATTTTTAATTTTTAATTATAAAAGAAATAAAAAAACCTAACCCAGTCGTCCGTCCCGTCGCGTCGCCTCCCGTCTCCGTTCCAATAATTGCGCCGCCGGACAACTTGGTCTGGGCGCCATTATTTTCATGGGAAATTTCCCTTTGCGCCATTATTCCACAGTCCACAGAGAGAGGGGCGCCATTAATTCCCCAACCTGCGCCATTGAGATTGAGAGAGAGAGAGAGAGAGAGAGAGAGAGAGAGAGATTTTTTGGTCGGACAATTTTCTGATCGGAAATTTTTTTCCGACGAACATCGTCGTCGGAGAAGAATTTCCCGGCGACAGTGCTACTTTTGTGATGTTTGTTGACATATTTTGTAATGTTTGTATGCTTTGTTATTTTGTAATGTTTGTCGGGTTTTTTTTGTAATGTTTGTAAACTTTGTTATTTTTGTTAACCATGTTTGTAAACTTTGTCATTTTTGTGCACCATGTTCGTAATGTTTTTTATGTCTAAAAAACACCCGGGTTGACTTTGGGAAGGAGCCCCTCTATATAGGGATGGAGCCTCCAAAGTCAACCCGGGTGTGTTTTCCCGTTCGTATGGATTGTCGGTCTAGTTTGTCATTTTTGTCCACCATGTTCGTACTGTTTGTATGTCTAAAAAACACCCGGGTTGACTTTGGGAAGGAGCCCCTCTATATAGGGATGGAGCCTCAAAAGTCAACCCGGTTGTTTTTTCTTTTTGTATGGTTTGTATTGTTTGTCGGTCTAGTTTGTATTGTTTGTACAGTTCATACGTTTGTAATGTTTGTATGTTTTGTCGCTCTAGTTTGTACTGTTCGTATGTTTGTATGGTTTGTACTGATTGTAAATCCGGTTTGTATACTTCGTAATTTTCCATAATACCCAAACTACCCCTGTCATTAATTAAATAGTCATTCCCACTTTTTAACCATTAGATTGAAGTGTCCAGATCTAAGGGTTGGGAGGGGCTTAGTCAAGTGACTAAGCACCCCCTTAGTCACCAGATCCGCTCTCCACTTTATATGCCACGCCTCTCATGATCATTCTATGCCAGCTGTTGCCACCATGTGTAGTTATTTTTTGTGGTTCTAGAGTCTAGACCACATGTGATTAGTTTATTATAATGGCTAGTTAGAGTGCAATGAAAAAGATGGCTCTTGCCTCGGTTAAATAACATTTGTTCTTTTTTTTAGAGAAAATAAAACAATTTACTTGTTATTTAAATCATAAATGGAGTGGGAATTATAATAAATAATTATATCATTTAATTGGAGGCACATACGTGTTCTGTGGGGACAATCCTATTTGATGGTATTTCAATTAAAATGAACGGATTGTTTTTCTATTTTCCTACAAGGTTTTCGTATTAGATAATAATAGGACAACTATTAGCGACAATAGGAGTAGCCTCTAAAATGATTTATATAGCGGCAGAATATTTTCAGCCTCCAAAAGTATTAAATATAATTATAATAATGAAATTCGTTTTTCATAGATAACAAGGCAAAACTTTAAAAGACAGTTACACAAAATGTGCCCCTATATGCAAGATTTTAATTAAGTTAAAATAAATTGTAAAAATATAATCATTTTAGAGGCACATAATTTTATTTTTAGAAGCAGATAACATATTGGTTGTGTAAAATGCATTTTAGCAGACAATTACTTTATGTGCCGCCAAATTTTGCCGCTAAAGTTGATTTTTCTTGTAGTGATACAATGATTTTTCTATTATATCATTCAACGTTAAGATAAAAATCAAGCCCCAATTCCTCAATTCTATCATATATATGATTGAGTAACTCAACTTCATAACAAAATCCCAGGTTAAACGATCATTCTATAATCTCTTATTTTTTGTAATCGAATTGTATCTTCCCTTTAGTTCAAATTGAAATAACTACAAATTAAATTGTGATATACACGATGATATTTGTTTTGATGCACATAAAAATATTTTTTCGAATCAGTAAGTGTAATACGAGGTTGTATCAATAAATTCGTAATTTGTAAAAAATAGTATATAGATTAGGGTCGACCCACTGACCCAACCCGTCCTGACCCGTCCAACACTTGAGGGTCAGACAAGGTCAAGGAGATAGGGACCGGACGGGTCAGTTATATTTTGACCCTTCAGTGATGGGTCAGGGCAATTTTCAGTCCTATGATTTTGTAGAAAATTCTTATGTAATGCGAGCATTATGTTTTTGTTTTAAAGTATGTTATTTTGTAGAACATAATTACGATAGATGAAATTGCGGATGGTCCGCGTGGCCATTGGAGGCTGGGATTCGGGCTGTGATCTGGGGTTCTTGACCGGGACGTGGCCATTTTCGCTTGACGGCGGAATGGCATTAAGAAATGCAGCGATCGAGGGTGGTGGCCGGGGATCTAGAAGAGGAGACGGGAAGATGGATAAAGAGATGTTTGGAGTGGAAGAAGACAAACTGGACGGAAAACCGTTGAAAAGACAGGCTAGCTGGCAGACAGAGCAACCGAGTGAAGAACCATGGGCCCGGCCCAATTGACAAAGTCCAATCCGACTCGGTGTTACCATTCAATTGACGATGGAGCGGAGGCCCAAATATGGAGTTTGGGAGATTTCCGGTAATTTAAATGGAGCCTTGAAGCAGCCCAAAATCCAAGAGACAAGCCTACGAAAATTTGTTTTGCTGGACCAAACTATTGAAATTTGGTCCTCCCTCAAAATTTCTTCTCCATTCGATCCGATCCGATCGTATACTAAAATATCAAAAGCATCAATCACGAGTTTGGTTGCTTGCCGTTCTTCGATTATTTATCTACCATTAAACAGAAAACTAGTATCGGGCCTGGCCCCTGCCGGAGTGTTTGATTATTATATATTTTGATATGTTGTTGTCATTTATAATATTTAATTTTTCAGTATAGCTAAAAAATAGAAATGATTAACAAATATAAATAACTAATAGCGTATTTAGAAAGTAAATAGTGTCTATTTTTTTGGTATTTCATGTAGGACAACATGAAAGTTTCTTCCATTACTCACACAAAATCAATCTTAATCATAAAAGAAAATGATTATCCATTCATGTAGGTTAATCGAATATTCTTTATCAATAGTTACCATCTTTATTCATCACGGTACGTTATAGATATGAAATTATATCCTGTGAAAGAACATATAGGGCACATTAGAGATTGATCAACAATATGAAGTAGCATGTTAAAGATGTACAACGATAACGTGAAAACCACCCTCGATACAACATTAACCTTATTTGTTTTTCACAAACTAATATGCTATAGAATTTGTGACCATTTTGCATCCATGCATGAGAGTGTCGTTGTAGAAGCTGTTAGAGAAACCAGAAAATGACCTAGTGCCAAGATTCACAGTGAGCATTCTTAACATGAGTCAAGGACTCGATACATAAAAGAAAAATCAAGTGAATATTTTGTGCACTGCGGAAGTTATACTTAAAAGTTGAGCCTTTAGATGCCTCATTGTTAACTTCAGTATTAATATTTTAATGTAAACGTAGAGGTAGACAAAACAGTGGGCAATGAAGAGCAAATTGATCTCAAATGCTCAATACTTGGGGCTCACTTTAAAGACCAAATGTTAAAGTAACTTTGTGCCTTCATGTTGCATCTTGTTCTCCCTAAAATCCATAACTTATTCAGATGTGAAACAAAAGTCTTTAATTATGCTCGCAAAAGAAACATAGGGAAAGACAATTAGATATAAAAAGAGATGATACCACCATCTATAATCTTAAACACTTTAGGAAGATGAGCGAGATTGAGATGAGAGTCAAAGTCATTGTCAAAAAAGGTGTACATGAAAAAAGTCTTGTGTTTAATAATCAATTAGACAGCCAAAAGAAGAGAAATAGACAAAAAAAAATTATAACCTGTCAATTTGAAGGTCCGAAACATGAAACAAAAACCACTAATTTATTGTATGTGTTCATCGTCATGAGCTAATCCGTATCCCCATCCACATAATAATATCAACACAATTCTATCTATAACCATTTAACCAATAGGTTACATATTACAAAGCAAATAACAAAACTATAGCTTATAGATTAAGATGTTCACAAACACTAAACAATAGATCCACCATTCATTAATCCTCAAGTTGTCAAGCATATAATTAGATGGAGTTTATCTCCATCAAAACATAAACATATAGCATGCAGTTTAGATTCAATCATTCAGCTAATTATTTATCAATTTTCTTAACTTAATAGGAATTATTAGATTAATCAAGAAGAAAAAAGGTAAAAGATAAATATATATATTCTAATTTAATAATTAGTTTAATAAGTATTTAAAAAATAAAAATGTGAAACTTCAATCTCTCAGTCTTTCTCTAAAACATTCAAACTGTGTCGGAACCTCCCATTTTGTACCTTTCTATTTTCTCACGCCGTCTGACACATTCGCTTCTTTCCAAAATGAATTTTTGGTTACCCTATTTTCACTTCCTTCATATAAAATTTTCAGATGAGACGGATTTGCATTAGACAAAGCGGATATCGTTAATCACAGGGAATATAATCGATAACCGACGCCGTTGCTTCGTATATGTCCGCCATCTTATTCTTCTGTTGCAGTCGATGTCAAAGTTTGGAAGATTCATTTATTAACTGTTGATATTCGGACTTTAGTGTTAATTGCTTCAGTGATTGTTTGTTCATTGGTTGCTTCCGTTCATATGAGATATATAAGGTTAACGATTTTGCTTATGTGGCAACGTTTCAATTTGTAGATGATTAACAAGACATCATTTCATTGTTAATAGTATGATCCAATATCACAGTTGTCTATTAATGTTGTTTGTTCATATTATTGATGTTCATGATATCATTAATAAATTATTTTATAATGAACATTTATGTTGATTATGATAATTGGGATCGCTGACTCTCACATGCAGGTGTGGTTGGAAAGCAAAACACGACTCTGGGGAGACTTTGGAACTCTATGGTGCTCCTTGATTAGCTTTGTCTGGCAGGAAAGGGGTCGAATGCTCCATGGAAAGGTTCCAAGAGCGGCTGAGTAGGTGATGGAGTATGGCTGCGAGATTTCCGCTTCTTTATTTCCTCTTATCCAGGTTTAGAGGCTGAGAGAGTTTGCATCCCTCCAACAGCATAACAATAAAATGAAAAATAAATTAGAAAGTGAAAAAGAACCCAACAAATTTAAAGCATAGCGGAAACGCTAAAATCAATGCGACAGATTGAAAGCCCAACATAAATGTTTAAACAAAGCATTTCAATTAAAGTATGGCAAATGACATTTTTTCTTTCCAAAAATCACTCTGGTTGCTGGATGTTTGAAATTGAGAAATTTAACCTATGAATGTCCTTCATATATTTTATAGAGTGGAGGATAGTCTAGAACTAAAATAATCGAATATGAAAATCTAAGTATGAAGCACCATAAAGATACTTACATGAGACTTAGTGAGCTAGTTTATCGTTATGCAAAAGTCACCTATTTTTTAGATTTTAACTTCGTGTATTTTTTTTAATAAAATTTACAACGTATTTGTTTAGTGTAATTAGCTATGTTTCTTGTCTCTCTTTAAAGAGACCATGGTTCAAATTTTGGTGTTGATATATTTTTATACAAAATAAATAACTAATTGTGAAGACAAAAATACCCTTTCTACTTTCACTCTGGTTGCTCGAAATTTGAAATGGAGAAAATTCAACACATAAATCTGCTTTATCTACACTATCCTACTCCTCCAATAATATTTGGTAGAGTTTTGTGTACTTTTCTCCATGTCAAATTTCTTGCAACGAGAGTGAAAGTAGGAAGTACAATTTGGTCTTTACAATTAATTAATTATTTCATATAAAAAATAGGTCTATTACCACTAGGAAACCCGAACTATCAACAATGTGTCATTTGTATCCCGAACTATTCAATATGACATTTGTGTCATGATGTATGATTGTTGTGTGTCATTTATTTCCTAGCAATTTTGTTGACCGTTAAAGATAACGGTTGACCTAACGGTCATCAGGACCTTTGGTTACGTGGCACATATGTGCGGCCACGTCAGCTGACACATCAGATTATTTATAAAAAAAAATCCAAAAAAAAGTAAAACAATTTCTTAACAAAAATCTTTTTATTTATTTATGAATGAACAAAAATTTTCTTCCTTAGCACTTCCACCGTCATCCACCGAATTCGACCCTTCGAATCCCGACGTTGAATAAGGGCGGCGACTGTGTTGAAGAGACGCGAGGAAGATGGAACTGAGGCTCCCATCAGTGGCTGCTTCATCAGGCCATAAGCCATCGGGTCGTCTTCAATCAGATCGGCGCTGAAGTGGATCTGCGCCTGATTAGCGTCCAACTCCCCGCCGACCCCATTCATCCTCTAACAGTAGCCTCATCAATCCCCTTCTTCCCATAACTCTCGACCGGGTAAGAGGAAAGGAAATGGTGTCTTTCACTCTCTTCTCTTTTCTCAACATTATGAGGGGAAGGGGAATGGTGGTTTCATTGCATCGTCTCTAGAATACCTCAAAATCTAATTTTAGATCCATTAATTAATGGAGATGCGAATTTTGGGCAAACGAGCAAAGGGGGTCCTCTGATTAAGCTCAAAGTCGCAGGGGATTCCTTCGATTTTGTGGGTTCAATCTATTTTGTCGCTTTCACTTGTAGAGCGTTTGATGGCTGTGGATTGTGACGGCGGTGCTCCATGGTTGTGACCGAAATCGAGGGGAACTCCAAACTTGGTCGCTATGTGTGAGAGTTGTGGATGGTGACGGTGGCGCTCCATGATTGTGACCGGGACGACAGCGAGCAGAGTGCGAGCGAAGTCACGGCAGCTATTGGAACTCCAACAACGACGTGCAGATTCGGCACGATAGTGGTGATTGCAAAGGAAGGAGAAAGGGAGAGGTTGCAGGCGGAGAAGGGGGCCGGGAGAGGTGTGGTTTTTTTATTTTTTATTTTTAATTTATATTTTTTTATTGGATGGAAAAGTAAATAAAAATTAATATTAAAATTCCACGTCAGATGCCACATCAGCGCTAACTAGACTTTCTATTAAAAACTAACGGTCAACGCCAGTCAATTCTAACGGAAAAATAGTTCAGGACACAAATGTCATATGGGATACTTTAGGACACAAATGACACATTCTTAATAGTTCGGGTTTCATAGTGGTATTAGCCCTAAAAAATATCAATATCAAGATTTGAACTCAGGTCTCTTCCAACAAAGACAACAATCAGTACCAATTACACTAAACAAATTTGTTGTATCTTTTTGAATAAAAAAACATACACGAAGTTAAACTCTAAAAATATGAGTACTTTCCATCATGATTAGCAAGCCCACTAAGTCTACTTTATGTATTTTTCAATTAAAATATAAAATTTGTGCTTTTTTATCTTTGTTCTTAACTCTTTCTAACTTCCTCCGAAATTCCCTACATCGTGCAATAGTTTGCGCCCCTTTCACTACTCAGTACAAGGGCGTCTTTGAAAATCAATCTTCTGGTATCTCTGGGCACTACGGTTTTAATGTTGGGGATTTAAGATGGGAAAGTAGAAGATTTCAACTCCGATATCAATCCATGGCGAATAGAATCGAGTTCAATAGATGGAGTTGGAGAAGGAGGATTAGAAATTGAATTTTTTGTTGAAACATATGCCTCTTGAAATTGAAGATAGAATGGATAAAATTTTGGTTGTACGACAAAGAGTGGTGGCTATTGGATCTTTAGGTTTATGGTTTTTGCAGCCATTACAACCTATTTATATCTTAAAACGAGGAATCATTGAAGGAGGTAGATTCTTTATTGAACCTACTGGAACTTATAGATAAGAAGTGTCTAATTTTGTGTCTTATTACTTTAATCGAGTCTATTAGTATATTGGAAATAACCCTAATTTTTTGTTTGCTCTCAAGTTTTTATGGTCCACTCTTAGATGAGTTGTTAGTATACAGTTGACTTGAGTCAACAACTCTTCATTTTTTTATTAGTGGTGGCATATTTTTCCTAAAAGGAGAGCATTTAACCCTTTATATAGGATTGCGAGGTTGATTTTTATGGGTCGTGTGTAAATTCCAATGAGATTTTATACTCTATCTTTCTTGACAATCAACTAACCAATAGCATTTTAACGGGGCTTAATTATCACTATGAAAATGGGATCAATGATACATTTTTATATTTAATATTCTTAAATGATTGTGATGTTTCTCTTAATGTTCGACGTATATAATTTTTCTTTATGTATAATTTTGATCGAAGGATTATCAATAAAATTAAACAGGTTGATAGACTTAAACGTATAATAAAAATATAAATAATCAAATATGAATATTCCGCCCAACGGGCCGGGTTATAAGCTAGTTTATAATAGTTGAAAAGTTAAATTGTCATCCCCATTTCAAATTTCGTGGCCTGAGAGTGATTCTAGAAAGGTCTATTTAGTAATTGCACCTCATTTGTTTATATATTTAAAAGTGCATTAGTAGGATTTGAACTCTGGTCAGACAACCCATTGCTTTAAAGTTGAAGGAAAAAACTACAACCCCATTTCAAATTTCGTGGACGGGGAGCGATTCCAAGAAGCTCCATTTAGTAATTGTATATCATTTGTTTATATAATAAAATTTTGATTATTGAGATTTGAAATCATGTTACTCAAATGAAGAAAAAGTATTATAAGTTTATAAACAACTAGACTACAAAGGATAAGACTATATCACCCGTAACTTGTACTTTTCGGTCGACCTAATCCTAACAGTAGTCGACCGAATACACTAATGTGGGCACCCTGATGACTTATCACGGTCGACCTTTAAAATGTAGTGGTCGACCGTTTGTAGTTTAAGTTGTCATTGTTGGTCAACCAAATAAAACATTGGTCGACCTTTTCATTGGCGCCAGAAGCAAAATGTTCGACTGTAAAGGTATATAGGTCGACTACATGATGGCGGTCATTAACAAAATGGTCGACCGTTTACAGAAAGAGGTCGACAAGATAGAAGAGAAGTGTTGTATCCATTTATCCATCACCATTTGACGTAAAATGAAGATCAAGAGTGTTGGTTTCGCGGTCGACCTAATCTGGTACGAGGTCGACCTAATCCGGTTGATGTCTTTTTTGCTTATGTATGTTGATGTGGGTGCCCTAAATTCAATTTCGAGCAATTGTCAAATATAGGTCGACCTGATTGAGATACGGGTCGACCAAATGATATTCTGCATGCAACAAAACATCAAATTAAACGGTGCAAATTACGCATTAGACAAGATGACGTTGATAGCTACATTAGGTCGACCTCACCTTCGACGTGGTCGACCTCTTGAATCACGTACAACAGCAACTGCAAAGGATCTTCTTCACAAAAGCTCTAACCGTTAAAAAAAACCTAATTTAGAGTTTCAGAGGCGGTGTAGGTAACATATATTCGTATTTATAGATATTTAGAACGAGAATGGGTCGAATTAAGTGGTAGATATGTTAGGTTTACCTTTATGGCGTTGGAATCCTTATCCAATACGGCTACGGTGTGCACGCGGTCGACCTCGTACTTATGCGGACGACCTCAGTTAATCAAAATGGTCTGCCTATGAGGTAGTATTTGGGTCGACCGTTCATTCTGTTCGCTAACCAAAGAGGTCGACCATTTGCTATAAAAGGTCAACCGCGTCGTTGAACCTCACAAAACTGAAACGACTGATTAGGTTGACCTAATCCTTTATAAGGTCGACCTAAAAGTGCATATTAGGTCGACCTAATCCTATATAAGGTTGACCTAAAAGTGCAAGTTTGTCACCATAGCAAAGTCTAAAAAAAAAATTAAAGTAAAAGTAAAAGCAACTAAACTACTACATTGTATTTGTTGCAATTTCTTTAATTCAACACTAGAGACATATTTGGTATATGATGTTTTATATTTTATTTGAACTTAATTAGTGATATCTTATAGAATGAAATTAATATGAAATCAAAACTCAAGTAACAGTGATTTGATTATTAAATATTTAATCATGTGTGTTGTTTAGTTTAGACAAAATACCATGGATTGAAAAGGTGTACCGGAAAAGTCAACGATTAAGTATTTATGCTGAAACCATGATTTAATTGTGGTTCAACCATTTCATACCGCTAAATACCGCCTACTGGTTTTGCTTCCGATAGGAGGTTTTTCTAGTTGAACCGTCGGTACAACATGGTTTTCTATCCTTGCAAAATATAACCAAAACGTCGACATTTGTGACAAAAGTAGTAAGCTTTTATACTACAAATATAGTCATTCCATACATGAAATATGTTAAACTTAACACCACCATCATACCTATGGTGATTATATTAACTGGATACACTAACGTGACATTTTTTGTGTTAACTTGACAACTTGAAGTTTTTTTGCATTTTATTCTAATGAACTTAAATAAAAAAGAAAAGCCACAAAAAGAAAGGAAATATTCACTAACAAAAAATGAATATTAAGATGGACAAATGAATAGTCACATGACCTCTCATTCCAACCCATTTTCTATCTTTCTTTTCCGCTTATTCTCCATCCCTCACCATCAATCAAAATTTAAACCAAAGTTAGCTCCCATCTAGCAGCACATTTGAGTTCAATAAAACATATGACAAAATTCTTTCAATTGGCGGTTCCATTTCAAATTCCCTGCATCCATAGCGTTTTGTGGAGGAACAATTTTGGAAACAGTTTATGCAATGCGAAGAGAATTGTTGCATCTGAAATGAAGACAAATCGGTCAGGCGACAGGCATAGAGAATGGACAAATACCGATGAATCTTGAGACCTCCCTACTGATAATAGAGGCTTTTGGATTTACGACGATAGAGAAAATGATGCGAAGCAGAAAAAAAAGATGAGAGGAGTTGTTGTCTATGGAGAGTATGGAAAACCGTCTGTCGGATGTATGAAATTAGAGTGTTGAACTACAAAGGTGAGCTTGTGAAGCGGAAAAATGGAGAGAAGAAAGTGGGTCCAAGAAAATGGAGGTCAGGCGGAAACCATCAGCGCAATGGGGAGGGAAATGAGCCGGTTTCTCATTTGGGTAGCGAAACAAAAATAAGGTCCAAACACCACACCTGCAGCGGCCAACCCGGAAATACAAATTTTCCACTTCCCAAACTACCCTTTGAAAATCATTCTGGAGGCAAAGATTTTTGAATGGGGGTGGCAGTTTTAATATCCTAAGATTAATTAGAGTGTATATTAGCTTTTAATTAATCAACCCTCCTTTCAATTTTAGTTTTAGGTCCGTAACGTAGGGACTAGGAAAATATTAGGAGAGATAATTATACTTATTAATTTTTTGTGGCGAAAGAGATAATTAATCTACACTTTAATTAATAGTAGAAAATGAAAACTACCAGCTCCATTTCAAATTCCATGCATTCAAAGCATTTTGTGGAGGGAAAATTTAGGAAACATTTTATACTTTAAACGTGTAGG